GTATAAGCTAGAGAACTGTATGCTGCTTACTTGAGGTGCCGAAGTGCGGGTATATCTCGGGGACCAGACGGGGTGACAGTACTCCAGGCGGGGAAGTACTTGAAGGGCGTTACGAGGGAGCTGAAGGACCATCGTATAAGACCCACAGCTTAGTTCCTTGATCCATCCTCTCACAATGGTCCGAGAACTTCATTTCGTTGTCAACACCCACACATAGATCTTAGGGTTGTTAAGTACTGTTCAATAAGCTTTAATATACATAAACTCGTCCACTTACCAGAATAACTAGCGGTCTGTACACAACTGTATCACTCATTAGGTCAACACTGTCTTGCGTGCGAGTGTTTGGGTTCTGGGTCTGGACATGGTGAGACAGAGACGACGAGCCTAAAGAAACAGAGACGACGAGCCTAAAGAAACAGAGACGACGAGCCTAAAGAAAACAGAGACGACGAGCCTAAAGAAACAGAGAGGACGAGCCAAGAAACAGAGACGACGAGCCTAAAGAAACAGAGACGACGAGCCTAAAGAAACAGAGACGACGAGCCTAAAGAAACAGAGACGACGAGCCTAAAAGAAAGAGACGACGAGCCTAAAGAAAGGACGACGGTAAGAAAGAAGAGAGTAAAAGAAGAAGTAAAAGAGAGGTAAAGAAAAGGGAGAGTAAGAAAAGGGAGAGTAAAAGGAGAGGTAAGAAACAGGGACGAGCTAAAGAAAAGAGACGAGAGCTAAGAAAAGAGACGACGAGCCTAAAGAAACAGAGACGACGAGCCTAAAGAAACAGAGACGACGAGCCTAAAGAAACAGAGACGACGAGCCTAAAGAAACAGAGACGACGAGCCTAAAGAAACAGAGACGACGAGGCCTAAAGAAACAGAGACGACGAGCCTAAAGAAACAGAGACGACGAGCCTAAAGAAACAGAGACGACGAGCCTAAAGAAACAGAGACGACGAGCCTAAAGAAACAGAGACGACGAGCCTAAAGAAACAGACGACGAGCCTAAAGAAACAGAGACGACGAGCCTAAAGAAACAGAGACGACGAGCCTAAAGAAACAGAGACGACGAGCCTAAATAAAACGTAAACAATCTAATTATCCAATCTAACCAAATTTAACCTAATCTAACGTACATTTTACAACGATATTAACTAGGCCTATTTACATATATTAAAATTTCAGCCCATGGTGATATTTCGAAAGTATGTAAAAAAAAAAAAGATTTCAACGAATATCAACAATTTTCACATTTCTTTTTCAATAAAGTTTGGTGAGAAAATGATATCAGACCAGCGTGAGGAAAGTTCAGTACCACGTAAAAAAAAAAAACCTAATCGTGCAGACGGTAGATGATGTGAGGAAGCAGCGGTGTAGCAGAGGAATAATAATGGATGATTTTTGTTAGGTATGACAGGATGATTGTGAGTGAGGAGGCTGACACGGGGCCCCTGACCGAAGAGTGGGGGAGGGAGGGAGGGGGGAGGAGTGGGGGAGAGGAGGGAGGGAGGTGTCCTTCTACTCACAGGTCACACCAAGCTTGCATTGAAGATGATGTGGCAACAACTATCACCATTAACTACTACTGTAACTGGAGCCCTGTACCTGCTCTCTCTCTCACTCTTTCTCTTCCTCTCTTTTATCCCCTTTCTCCCTCTCTCTCTTCTCTTCCTCTCATTTCCCCCCCTCTCTCTTCTCTTCCCCTCCCCCCCCTCTCTCTCTCTCTCTCTCTCTCTCTCTCTCTCTCTCTCTCTCACACTAGTTGAAAAATACCCCGAATGTTACGTCACTATGTAAACACAAGAGAGACGATCGGACAAACATTTGGCAGATCAAGATGGCGGCTTTACCCTGAGTATGTAGTATAATTTGGTTATTATAACAAGGACAGATATAACCCGTGTTACTATAATGAAGGTATGTTTTATTATTATTATTATTATTATTATTATTATTATTATTATTATTATTATTATTATTATTATTATTATCATTATTATTATTATTATTATTATTATTATTATTTTTGTTGCTGTTGTTGTTTTGTTAATAGTAGTAATAGTATAATTTTTGTCATCATCATCATCACACACACTAGGCCGGCCTATCATCAGAGGGGGCCGGGGGGGGGTGACCTTGGGCAGGATGGAGGTAGCGACTCCTGCCTAACCTGTCAATCCTGTTGTGGTGACAGACCTGGTAGGATAGCACCTTTAACTCTTACTTAACCTTTAAACCTAACCTTTACACCAACCTTAACCTAACCTAACCCATCCTACCTAATCTGACTTAAGTTAACTTAACCTAACCCATTCTGACCTAACTTAACCTAATCTAACCTAAGTTTACTTAACCTAACCTCAATTGGGTATTTACGACTTAAATTCAAGTTTGTGTAATTTTGTCCACTGTGTGTGTGTGTGTGTGTGTGTGTGTGTGTGTGTGTGTGTGTGACTTACATAAAGACAGGTATTAACAGCACCAAAACAGCGGTGTGAAGTAGATGTTTTTTTTTATTGACGTCATCAGGACAACGGGAAGTTCTTTTTAGATCAACAAACCAACGGAGCAGTTAACGGAGGCTTATGTCACAACGGAACCGGTCTGTAATCTGTTTTAAAGGCGTTCACATTTTCTTAAATTACGGACAGACAGACAGAGCTTCACCATGACAGTACACCTGGTCTAATTCTCTTTCCACTACACCACTAATTACTGTACAAATACCTCCCCCATCTTTACTCCACCTCCCTCTCACCCCTTTCTCTTCTCCCCTCACCCCATGCCCCTCTACATCTACCTCCTCCACTCCCTCACCCCTACACCTCCCTCACTCCTACACCTCTCTCATCCCTACACCCCCTCACACCTACACCTCCCTCACCCCTACACCTCCCTCACCCATATACCTCCCTCACCCCTACGCCTCCCTCACCCCTACACCTCCCTGCACCCCTATACCTCCCCCTCCGCCTCCTCACCTCCCCCTCCCTCTCCCCCTCACACCCTCACCCCTACACCTCCCTCACCCCTCCTCACCCCTACACCCCTCACTTCCGCCATCTTTTCCCTCCCTCTCCCCTCACCTCCCCTCTTTCCCCTCCCTCATTCCTCCTCCACATCACCCCTACACCTCCCTACACCTCCTGTCCACCCCTACACCTCCCCATCACCCCCTCACACCCCCTCACCCCTACACCTCCCCTCACCCCACCTACACCTCCTACCCCTACACCTTCATACCCTCACCCTCCTTCCCCACCCCTCCCCCTACCCCCCTCACCCCTACACCTCCACACCCCTACACCTCCCTCACCCCTACACCTCCCTACACCCCTATCACACCTCCCTCACACCCTACACCTCCCTCCTACACCTCCCTCACCCCACCCCTCCCCACCCCCTCCTCACCCCCTCACCCCACACCTCACCCCTCACCCCCCTCCCCCCCACACCTCCACCTACACCCCTACCCTCTCCCTACACCTCCCCTCACCCCTCACCCCCTCACCCCTACACACCCCTCACCCCACCTCCATACACCCCTACACCTCCCTCACCCCTACACCTCCCCTCACCCTCACCCTCCCTCACCCCACCTACACCTCCACACTCTCCCTACACCTCCCTCATCCCTACACTCCCCTCACCCCCTACACACCTCCCTCACCCCTACACCTCCCCTCATCCCTACCCTCCTCACCCCTACCTCCCTCCCCCCTCCACCTCACCCCCCTGCCCCCTCACCCCACCCCCTCACCCCCCACCTCCATCACCCCCCACCTCCCTCTTCCCACCTCCCCTCATCCCCTACACCTCCCCTCCCATCCCCTACCCCTACACCTCCCATCCCTACACCTACCCCCTCCCTCACCCCCCACCTCCCTCCCTCCCCCTACACCTCCCCTCATCCCACCTCCCTCACCCCTACCTCCCCCTCACCTCCCTCACCCCCCCACCTCACCCCTCACACCCTCCATCACCTCCATCACCCCTACACCTCCCTCATACACCTCCCTCATCCCTACACCTCCTCACCCCTACCCCCCTCACCCCTACACCTCCCCATCCACCCCTCCCCTCCCTCCCCCCCACACCTCCCCTCCCTCCCTCATCCCCTACACCCTCTTCACCTCCCTCATCCCTACACCTCCCTACACCTCCCCTCCCCACCTCCTCCCCTACACCTCCCTCTCCCCTCACCCCCTCACCCCTACACCTCCCCTCATCCCCTACCTCCATCCCCCCTACACCTCCCTCATCCCTACACCTCCCTCATCCCTACACCTCCCTCACCCCTACACCCCCTCACCCCGCATCTACCCCCACTTGTCCTTCACTCGCGTCGTGACAGTTGCCGCTTCGTAAATATTCGTCTTTGACAAACTTGGACCATAATTAGCGTGGCCGTCTGAATGTTGCCGCTATTACTATTTTATTTCTGTTAGTTTGGAAGTTAGATAAAGATACAATAAATATGTCTTAATTAAAACAATGTAGTAGAAATAAAATATGTGAATTTAAATAGAGATTAATATTGGAAATGTGGTGGTTTAAGAGGCATTATAAACCACATCTGGAAACTCACAGCCTAAAACTTTCTCCTGCCATCGACCAATATTTTATGCTCGTTGTCAACTCTTTACCTCTTCATACCTCGTCATTATTTAATATAATTACACATAATTACCTGTAACAACCATTAACTAATTACTGTGTGAAAGTGGTCCAAGACGTTAATTGCTCAAGAGTAAGTTATAAATTGAGAAGAAAATTGTTTACCTACATGGCGTGTTTATATACGGTTTGTGTTATGGCGTGTGAATGTTGTTGAATGTCCTGCTGTAGGTGTGTGTGTGTGTGTGAGAATGAGGGAGAGAAGGAGGGAAGGAAGGAGGGAGGGAGAGAGACAAGGAGATAGAGAGGGAGGAAGAGGAGAGGAGGGTCTGTGTACTGTAAGGACAATATTTTTAACTCAATAATAATCCGTTTCTCTATTCACAGGTATGGGAGAACGAGAAAACGATCGTCAGTGCTGGCAGAAAGGCTGGCGAAAGCACGTGAAAAGCCAGAAGCACAACACTATACCAACAAGGACTAAATTTCCTCCTATGACAACTGGTACTGTCGACCTTAAGTGACAAAGGCAGTGACATAGTGAAGGCAGTGATAAAATGCTCAAGATAATGCAGTGAAATACAACGAAATACTAAATCATTATTCTTTAACGATACAGAAAAATACAAAGTAAATACATCGAGGGAAATTTTTACAGTGAAATTACTCAATGACGATACAGTGAAACAGTTTTTATAATAGAATACAGTGAACAGTGACACACCCGAGCGAGGTTGAACAGTGATATGAGGTTTATACAGTGAACAGTGAACACCATACTTGATACTGTACAGTGAATAATGCATTTATAAAGCTTCTACAGTGACGCAGTTATTAGGGAAGTAACAGTGATAAATGATGAGGGTGAGAAAGCAGTGAATAAACAGGAGAGAGGAAGAGAGGAAGAGAGGAAGAAAGGAGGAGAAGGCGTTCATCATGGCTCCTGGGGTGTTCGTGTGTGAAGTGGTGTACTATGGGCGGCGGTCAGTACAGGGCGCCCAATCTTCCGCCACCCTCACCGCCCTCGTCGATCATTTTATCCACCCACATAACACGCCCACCCACCCATCCACCGCCGCCCACACCCACAGCTATCCCAAGGTGAGATATCCGTTGTTGTTCTCTTAATCCTTCGTCTCTGTGTCATATTATTTAACACAAAATCGTATAGATACTTTTTTGGGAGTGAGTTACGTCACCTTATTGTCAATACATCAATCACCTGAGTCTGTCTTACCTGGCCGGCCTTGTGCTTAATGAGCCACTAATTACGTCAGGTGTAATCGAGGTCTACAGGTAAAGCTGCTGACCATCTCATACTACCACTAACTTACTGACGTGTATGACTGTCTCTCTATCTCACTCTTTCTTTCACTGATTCTCTCTCTCTTTATCTCACCGGTTCTATCTCTTTGTTTGTCCGTCTCCATGTTGACCTGCCATAACCCCCCACCCCCCCCAGCGTGGCAGTGAGCGGTGTCAGCTAATGTGTGACGAGAACATCCGCGTGACGCGCCATCAGGGACGAAAGGTTTGAGTGACACTGGAGTCGTCTGGTAGTGCTTGTGACGACCCCTGCTGCCTCAACCAGGATATCAAGGTGGGTGTGGGAGCAGGTGTGGGAGGTGGGAGCAGGTGTGGTGGGGTGGTAGCAGGTGTGGGAGGTGATGAGTAGGGAAGGTAACAGGTGTGGGAAGGGAGGTGTGTAGGTAATATGGGAGGGTAATGCTGGGTGTGGGAGGGGGAGGCAAGTGTGGGAAGGGAGGTAACAGGTGTGGGAAGGGTAATATAGGTGTGGGAGGGTAGTAGCTGGAGGTGGGAGGGGAGGCAGGGTGTGGGAAAGGGGAGGTAACATGGTGGGAAGGGAGGTAACAGGTGTGGGAAGGGAGGTAATAGGTGTGGGAGGGTAGCAGCAGGTGTGGGAGGGAGGCAAGTGTGGGAAGGGAGGTAACAGGTGTGGGAAGGGAGGTAATAGGTGTGGCAGGGTAGTAGCAGGTGTGGGAGGGAGGCAGCAGGTGTACACGTCACTAACACAGGTGTCATCCAACAGGTGATCAGTGACCACGTGCTGAGGTTGGATCAGCTGATCAGTGATGATGGTGGAGGCGCCGCCATCTTCCCCTCGGACGAGACCTCCTCTTCGGCGACCAGCAGCGGCGCCGAGAGCGAGGACGACTCTCCGAGGACGGCCTCTACCACCATAACGACTCACCCGGCCCAGGAGGTACGACTCTCACTAACTACCTCACCTGTAGGAGAGGACACACCTGGTACACCTGATGGTATGTTAACAATAGGTGTTGTGTGTGTATTAACACTTGTTCTTGGTTACGTCACAGGTCCGGGTGAACGGTACTGCGGGAGACTTGTTCCTGATGAGTGACATACTGTACTGTCACGTGGCGGCGGCTACACCCCGGGTGGTGGTGGTGGTGGTGAAGGACGCGGGCGCTAGTCAGGTCCACGCCCACGTCTTCCAGTGCCCCAACGACGACATCGCCCGCACCCTCTACGCCCACTACAAGGAAGCCAGCAACAAATACAAACTCAACAGGTACCGCAACAGTAAGAGGAAGACTGACACGACACAGACTGAGGCAGCCAGCAGCAGCGGGGCCAACAAGGTAGTGACCAGCAGCAACAAACCTCCGTCTGGCAGCAGCAGGGTCTACAGCAGCAGTAGTCTGAGCCGCATGAGTGAGGGCGGCGCCCGTGGGTCGGCGCGTTCACTGAATGCTCGGGCGAGGGCGGCCGAATACAAGCAGGGCGGCGGCGACGGCTGTAATGTTAATGTCATCCAGATACGTGAGCCCGGGCAACAGGAGGGTGAGGCCCAGCGGCCGTGGGGCCTCGTGCAGCACACTGATGCCAACGGCGTCACCCACATCGAGATAGACAGCGGCCCCTGCAGCCTGGTGAGCAGCTCATCCGATACATCTGAGTTCAGCAGCATCATTAGCCTAGGTCAGACCTCCCCCAGCCAGGTGCCGCCACCCATGGACCCCCTCAGCCCACGCCCCCACAGTAGTAGTGACAACGTGGGTGGCATCTTGTACGGTAACAGCCTCGGCGGTGGTGGTGGCGGTGGTGGCAGTGGTGGTGGTGGTGGTGGTGGTGGTGGTGGTGGTAGCCTGAGGGGAAACAGCAATGACAGCGTGGGAGGAATCATGTATGGCAATAGCCTGGGCGGCGGTAGCTTGAGGGGCAACAGCAACTGTCCCAACAGCTTCATCAACCCGGAGCGGGAGGTCCTGGTGGCAGGTGAGGTGGACAAGAAGTTCAGACAGCGACAGCCAGCACTACTGCTGCGAAGAGAGGAACTGACCCGCCAGGAGGCCTCACATAAGGCGGAGGAGAGGCGCTGTGAGGACACCTTGAGGAGGAGCGACACCAAGAGGGAAGATCATCGTCGAGATAAGAAGAAGCGCGAAGACTGTCGACGTGATGATGGGGGCGGCCGTAGCCGACGGGACTGGCACGAGGGTGAGCGAGGTGGAGTGCAGGAGTTGTCGAGGCCGCCCATGGAGGCCATGATTCCTCGTCTGCCTCCCGAGCGCCAGGCGAGGCCCCGTGATCAGTCTCGTGGCCGCCTTCGCCACGCCCATAATAAGGGCCCCGCGCCCCCGCCGCCCCCACGCCGACATCCAGAGAACCCCGCCCTCCTGCTGGTCCCCACCAAGAACGGTGCAGAGAACGCCCGCGCGTTTTATCCCAAAGAATCTCACATTGTCCGAGGTAACAAGATCGTGCGGGTAGACTTACCAGGTTACCGGGGTGGCTGGGTGGCCCATGACGTCAACAACAATCCTCCCCAGTATGCGTATTACGGGGCCGCGGGCGCCTGGGTGGGTGCACATGAATACCACGCCGTCAGGAGCAGGGAAACCAGCACCATCACCCCGGAGATGAGGAGACGCTCACGCTCCAAGAGCCCAGCTCGTCGACCTATGGCTCACCGCTACATCGACGCAGTGTCCACCTTCAGTCTGTCGCAAAAGTTGCGGGACTTCTCTGACGCCGTGTTCACGACCAAGCGTAACACTGCAGGTGGTCAGCCAGGTGTATCAGGCAGTGCTGGCGGAGAGGTCAGAGGTCACCAGAGGTCACTATCTAGTGTTTCAGCTCCGGGAGGTGATAACGAGGGCACGCTGAGGCCAGTCATTAAGAAAGGTCGTCGACCACCAGAAGGTTCACCTCCATCCCGCCGTGTTACCTTCAGCGCCCGCCACCGTGCAGGTCATGGAGGGACCCCCCATCTCCCTTAACTATGCCAGTATAATGTTGTGACCACCATCACCTGGTGTTGGCGTGTGGCAGTGAGGGTGGTGTGGCAGGGTAGTGAGGGTAGTGTGGCAGGGTGAGATGGTGTGGCAGGGTGAGTGTGTGGCAGGGGTGGGGTAGTGTGGCAGGGTGAGGATGATGGTGTGTGGGATGGGTGTGGCAGGGTGGGGATAGTGTGTGGCAGGATGGGATGGTGTGGCAGGGGATGAGGGTAGTGTGGCAGGGTGGGGATGGTGATGATGGGGAGTGCCTGGTGAGGGGAGGCTTAGAGTGGAGCATGGGACCCAGAGGCTAACTAACCTAACCTCAGCCTGCTCACCCTGAAGAGCCAGGAAACGCCAGCCTCACTCACCCATTCATCCCCCTCCCCTCACCACCTCACCACCTCCTCCCCTCACCGCCCTCCCTCACCACCCCCTCCCTCACCCACCCCTCCCTCCCCACCCCTCCCCTCACCCCCCTCCTCACCACCCCCTCCCTCACCACCCCTCCCCCTCCATCACCCCCCTCCTCACCACCCTCCCTCACCCCACCCTCCTCCACCCACCCTCCTCACCCCAATTCTCACCCACCTCCCACCACCCCCTCCTCACCACCCCTCCCTCACCACCCCCTCCCTCACCACCTCCTCCATCAGGCTGCTGGCCAGGTGTACCAGGATCATCAGTCATCCTCCAGGTGTAATAGTGACCACAACACCCGTGTAACTCTGGACGCTCGAGGCACAGTAGTGAGGCTTCCTGCACCTCCCACTTGAGATGAGGTCAGGTGAGTGTGGGCGGACGGCTGGGCGGGACCTCACCCACGCCCACGGCAGGTTAGAAACAGCGGTGGTTAAAACTGTACTTAAATCCAGCGGAAGTTATAACCTGACACAAAATGCTCAAGAAAATGCTTCTAGCGTTGTGTTGTGTTGTGTTGCGTGACGAACCCCAGGTGGGCGGCGCTCTAGTGTTGCTTCTGTGTGTGTGGCGGAGGTGAGGTGTTGGACCTACACTCCAGGGTCGCCTCCCTCCTCTACACTACAGTATATATAAATAATATACAGTATATATGATTGTATTAATAATAAAGTATTTTCATTGATTGTGTTTATTTGATTATGTCCTTATCAGACCCACTCTGTCCTCCCCTACACCACTATTGTCACTACACAACTTAAAATTGTCTTAAAGAGTCTTAATATTAACCAGGGTGTAGCACCAGGGTGTAGCACCAGGGTGTAGCACCAGGGTGTAGCACCAGGGTGTAGCACAAGGGTGTAGCACCAGGGTGTAGCACCAGGGTGTAGCACCAGGGTGTAGCACCAGGGTGTAGCACCAGGGTGTAGCACCAGGGTGTAGCACCAGGGTGTAGCACCAGGGTGTAGCACCAGGGTGCCTCGGGGTGTAACACCAGGTCTTTGCAGAGTGTGCACCAGGGTGTAGCACCAGGGTGTAGCACCAGGGTGTAGCACTGCAGGGTGTAGCACCAGGAGTGTAGCACCAGGGAGTGTAACGCACCAGGGTGTAACACAGGGTGTAGCACCAGGTGTGTAGCACCAGGGTGTAACACCAGGGTGTAACACCAGGGTGTGCACCAGGGTGCTTACCAGGGTGTAGCACGGGGTGTAGCACGGTGTAACACCAGGGTGTAGCACCAGGGTGCACTGTAGCACCAGGGTGTAGCACCAGGGTGTAGCACCAGGGTGTAGCACCAGGGTGTAGCACCAGGGTGTAGCACCAGGGTGTAGCACCAGGGTGTAGCACCAGGGTGTAGCACCAGGGTGTAGCACCAAGGGTCATTCCCGCACCTACAGACACTATCTCAGGCCTCAGCCATCAAGCTCCTCTGATATAATTTACTGTATAAGACTTTTGACAGTATGACAGGAGGAGGAGGAGGGTGTGAGGGTGAGGGCGTCCTGGAGGGGAAAGCAGGAAGTGTGGCAGAAGAAACTGGCGAAATTTAGCGAAACTTGTAACGTCTCCAACCACAAGACTACCGCAGGGTGCACCCCGGGCCCCTGCTGCGGTGCTGTGACTGTGTGCACCCCCACACACCCGGCCTGGCCTGAAGAAAGGAGGGGCCCCACACACCTGGCCTGGAGAAGGGAGGGGGCCCACACACACCTGGCCTGGAGAAGGGAGGGGCCCCACACACCCGGCCTGGCCTGGAGAAGGGAGGGCCCCCCCCACACACACCTGGCCTGGAGAAGGGAGGGGCCCCACACACCCGGCCTGGCCTGGAGAAGGGAGGGGCCCCCCCACACACACCTGGCCTGGAGAAGGGAGGGGCCCTCATGTCTGGACGGAGTCTTGGTGAAGTCATAGTAAACAAAGTGACGTCATAGGAAACACGCGTCGTTATGCTACAGTCAGATGGTATATCCCCCTCACCCACCCTCCTCCCTCACCCTCCCCACTTCACCCTCCCCACCCTCTCACTCCCCACCCTCCTCCCCCTGCCACCCCCCACTCTCACCTCCTCCCACACCTCTCACCTCACCTCCTCACCTCTCACTCACCACCTCTCACTCGCCTCCCATCACTCTCTCCCCCACCCTCACCCCACCCCAACCTCCCCACCTCACCTCCAACCCCACCCCCACCCCACCCCCACTCCCCACCCTCCCCACCCTCCCCCACCCCAACCCCACCCCAACTCTCACCCCACTCTCCCTCCTCACCCCCCACCTCACCCCACCCCCTCTCACTTCTCACCCTCCCCCAACTCTCCCCACCTCACCCCCCCCCCCCACCCCCTCACCTCACCTCCTCACCCCCCCACCACCCCCACTCTGTCCTCCCTCACTTCACTCCCCACCTCCCCCACCCCCACTCACCTCCTCCACCCTCCTGACTCCACCCTCAACTCTCACCTCACCTCCTCACCTCACCTCCTCCCTCACCCCACTCCCCGCCAACTCTCCCCACATCACCTCCTGTCTCAACCATCACCCCCAACCCCCAACCTCCCCACCCCCCAACCCCCCAACCCCCACCCCACCCTCCCCACCCCACCCTCCTCACCTCACCCTCCCACCCTGACCCCCACTCCACCCTCCCCGTCAGTCTCCCACCTCCCACCTCAACCTCCCCAACCTCCTCACCTCAACCTCCTGTCTCCACACCTCCCACCCCCCACCCCCCACCCCACCCCACCCCCACCCCACCCCCACTCCCACTCCCCAACCTCCCACCAACCTCCAGTCCCAACCTCCCACCTCCCACCTCAACCTCCCAACCTCCACCTCCCCAACCTCTCACTCTCACCTCCTCACCCTCTCTACCTCACCCTCCCTCTCACCCTCACCCTCCTCCCCCTCACCCCCCTCTTACCCCTTTGTAAATAAAAATAAAATAAATAATAAATTAATACAAAATAAAAACACATAAATTAAGACATAAAATTCGGTTACAAAATTAAGAACAAAATCCAAATAAAATAAAATTAATATTGTTGAAAATTAAAAAAAAAATCTACCAATAAAATGATTTAATAAATAACAATAAAAACGAAAATAAAATTCCTCAATAAATATTAAAAATAAATAAAAAAATAAAAAAAATAAAACCCACTAAAAATAAATAAAAATCTATATAATTTGTATTTTATAATTTAAACCAATAAATAAAGAAAATGGAATAAATTAAATTATATAAGAAATTACTGCTAGGGAAAATAAATTGAAAAATAAAATTGATGATAAATCTTTGGCATAAAAAATAAATTGACAAGTAGACTTATTAACCTCATGACCTCCTGACACTCATTGATAGTTCCTGACACTGATAGTTCCTGACACTGATAGCTCCTGACACTCATTGGTAGTTCCTGACACTGATAGCTCCTGACACTGATAGTTCCTGACACTCATTGATAGTTCCTGACACTGATAGCTCCTGACACTGATAGTTCCTGACACTCATTGATAGCTCCTGACACTGATAGTTCCTGACACTGATAGCTCCTGACACTCATTGGTAGTTCCTGACACTGATAGCTCCTGACACTCATTGATAGTTCCTGACACTGATAGTTCCTGACACTCATTGGTAGCTCCTGACACTGATAGTTCCTGACACTCATTGAAGTAGCTCCTGACACTAATAGTTCTGACACTGATAGCTCCCTGACACTGATAACTCCTGACACTCATTGGTAGTTCCTGACACTGATAGTTCCTGACACTCATGGTAGCTCCTGACACTAATAGTTCTGACTTTGATAGCTCCTGACACTGATAGTTCCTGACACTCATTGGTAGCTCCTGACACTGATAGTTCCTGACTGCTCATTGGTAGCTCCTGACGCTGATAGTTCCTGACACTGGTAGCTCCCTGGCACTGATGGCTCCTGGCCTCATTGGTAGCTCTGACACTGATAGCTCCTGACACTGATGGCTCCTGACATTCAATGGTAGTTCCTGACACTGATAGCTCCTGACACTCATTGGTAGTTCCTGGCACTGATGGCTCCTGACACTGATAGCTCTGACTCATTTGGTAGCTCCTGACACCTGATAGCTCCTGACACTCATTGGTAGCTCCTGACACTGATAGCTCCTGACACTGATAGCTCCTGGCACTGATAGCTCCTGACACTGATAGCTCCTGACACTCATTGGTAGTTCCTGACACTGATAGTTCTGACACTCATTGGTAGCTCTGACACTGATAGCTCCTGACACTGATAGCTCCTGACATAATGGCTCCAGACACTGATAGCTCCTGGCCTCATTGAAGGTGGTTCTGTTGCTGATGGCTCCTGACACTCTCATAGTTACTGACCTCTGGTAGGTGGTGGTAGGGAGTGAGTGGTGTTAGTGGGAGGTAGTGGTAGGAAGTAGTGGTAGTAAGAGAGTAGTGGTGAAGTGATGGTAAAGGTAGTGGTAGGAGGTGGTGGTGAGAGGTGGTGAGTGGGAGGTGGTGAGGGGTGGTGGTGGGAGGTGAGGGGTGGGGTGGTGGTGGTGAGATTGGTGGTGGGAGTTGGTGGTGGTGGGGTGAGGTGGTGGGGTGGTGGTG